GACTACAAAGTCTAGAAAGCATTCTTTCAGCTAAGAACTGTGAGGCTGAAGACAAAACCAAATATCTATAAATCATGTCTGCCAGTTGGTAGTTTTCTATGAGGCGAGGTAAATGGTGCTGAAGTCGCTGACAGGAACCCTGGGTCTGAACACAGAGGCACACTGCTAGGGTAGCAGAGGTGTCCTCCCAGGCTGCCCTGGAACACCATGTTGATCACCTGGTTCTTAGTGGTTACCTGGTTCCAGAATTCCCTGATGGGTCCAGGGAGGCCCACGGAACCAGATGCTGGCCAGTGAGTCATTTTATCCAGACATATTCAAACACTGCAGGGAAAAATCAATGCCTACTGAACCTTTGTAGCTGGGTAACATACTTGCCCTCTAATACAGTGGAAAACAAACAAACCAGCTCACTTATTGGGGGCAGAGAATTCAAATAGGTCAAGGAGAAGATGTCCAGTGTTCTGCCTGGACCACCCCACAGCCGGACAGCAACGCCGCCTGAAGTTACTCTGGTTCTAGCATCTAGTGATTGACAGAGACCACGGAGGAGGCTGCTGCCTGGAGTGTCTGTGTGGCCTTCTCCTGCGGTCTGAGAGTTCTCGGAGCATGATGGATGACTGGAAAGGAGAGTGGGCAGGGTGGAGAGGAAGCCGCCAGCTGGCATGCTTCTCTCCCCCGCAGTGTGCTGCCTAAGACAATTACAGAAGCTACCCTGGCCCAGGATGCAGGACCCTGTCACACTACGCAAGAAGAACATGCAGGTTGAAACTGGCATGGTATCTGTAGTGCTTGGAATTAAAAATGTTTTCTGTAGGACCATGTATTCGAACACTTGGCCACAGTTGGGAGGGACCTTTGGGTTGTCTCAGAGTTTCTGTGGCTCTGATAAACACCATGGCCATAAGCAATTTGCTTATACTTCTGTGTCTGAGTCTGTCGTGAAAGTACTTCGGGGGCAGGAACTCCAGGCAGGAGCCTGGAGGCAGGAGCTGAGGTACAGACCAGGCAGGAGCACTGCTTTCTTGGCTGGCTCCTCATGACTTCATCAGCTTGCTTTCTTACACAGCTCAGGACCACAGGTCCGGGGGTAGCACGGCGCTCTGTGGGCTGAGCTCCTCCCACATCTATCCCTAGATTTCTCAGACCTGTTTACAGACCAGGCTTTTGCCAAGTTGACAGAAAATTAGCCAGCGCAGAGGTTGTGACTTGCTGGAGGAAAAGGGTAGGCCTGGGACCCATAGGTCCTTGATCTGTTTCCTGTTCTTTCTCTCTGCTTCCCCTGAGCTGTACATGCTCTCATGCTTTCAACTCCTATGGGCTCTCAGCCCCTGGAACTATAGATACACCAAAACAAATCCTTTCTTCCCTAAGGTCTTGCTTCTGATCATGATATTTTATCTTGCCAACAGAAAATTCACCAGTCCGCTATCTGTGGGAAAGTCAGTCTCACAAGGTCCAGTACAACTTATTCTTTTCTGAAGCGGGCTGTTCACACTCGGGTATGTTGTTTTCGAGTCCTCTTTGTGCTTTTATATATGTTCAGAGCAGAATCCTATTTGGTACTTTTGTGGAGAAGGGCACACACTTAGTTTTTACACAAATGAGATCATCACTACATGTAATTGCTGGGAAGTGAAGCTCTCGCTAGGGAATGGTATTACATAGCCTGGTGGCACTGTGATTTATCTGACCATTTCTCTCTTTTGGTGGCTTTCGGAATGTTTCCTGTTTTGTTTTTTTCTGTATCACTAGACAAAGCTGAAGTCAGTATTTCTCTACGTCGTTTTACATAATGCAGTTGTGGTTCCTTCCTAGGAAAGAGATGATGTTAGCATCTACAGCCTGGAGCATGCCCACTCATATGAGGGTAGCATCCACAGTGTGGATCATGCCCACTGACATGATGATAGCATGTACAGTGTGGAACATGCCAACTCATATGAGGGTAGCATGTACAGTGTGGACCGTGCCCACCAATACAAGGGTAGCGTCCACAGTGTGGATCGTGCCTACTGACATGATGGTAGTGTGTACATTGTGGAACATGTCCACTCATGTGATGGTAGTGTGTATAAAGTGGAACATGCCCACCGATACGGGGGTAGCATGTGTAGTGTCGAGTGTGCCCACTGATATGAGGGTAGCTTCCACAGTGTGGAGCATGCCCACTGACATGATGGTAGTGTGTACAGTGTGGAACATGCCCACTCATATGACGGTAGTGTGTATAAAGTGGAACATGCCCACCGATACGGGGGTAGCATGTGTAGTGTCGAGTGTGCCCACTGATATGAGGGTAGCTTCCACAGTGTGGAGCATGCCCACTGACACCCACAGAGTGGTGCCATGGGTGAAGTAGAACTTCCATATGAAATATTAAGTTTCTATATTAACGGGGTGTGGCTGCCCCCTCATCTTCACCAGCACTCACTATTGTCAGTCTTCCTCACTTTGCCTCTTACCATCAGGAACTGATACAGTAGACAAACAAGCTTTGAAGCGGCTAATGACGGCTAGGCGGAATGGCTGCTCACTCATCTCTTAACTTTCTGTTTAATTCTGGGGGGAAATGCCTATTAATGTCCTTTACGTTTTGTTTCATTTCGCTAAGACATAGAGAAATGCAACTACAAATTGAAATTTTGTTTTTTTTTAATTTTTTTGAGGTAAGATCCCAGGCTAGTCTTCAACTTCTGATTTTCCTGACTCTCTCTCTCAAATGCTGGGACTCTAGTTAGATACCACCTACCACTGTAAATAGTAAGATATTGGTTAAGGACTAAGTGATGACAGAGACCTGAAAGGGTCCATGCAGATGGTTCAGGGGATGAAGGCAACTGCTACCAAGCCTCACAACCTGTGTTTCCAATCCCTGCGGACCACTAGATAGAAGGAGAGAACTGATTTCTGTTAGCTCTCCTCTGACTTCCACACACATGCCATGACACTTGTGCACTCCTTTCCCTGCTCCCCACTTGCAACACAAAATAAATAAGCAGGTTGTAATAAAAATCTGAAATAAAAAAGACACGTGGTGCTTGCGTGAACAGATTCCACTTAGTAAAGCCTCCCTAAAATCGCACAGAAATTATTTCTCTCTGCTTACACTTATTCTTTAGACATAACCTCTGAGCGGTCTGAAGAATATTGTAATTGTTTCACATGAGGCAAGACCTAAGTTCATCTTTTTACGTACCGAATACAAATTTTTAGGATCATTTACGGGCTGAGCCTTCTTTCCCACCAGGCGGTTGTTTATTTGCATTATCGCTTAAATGTTCTAACTTTCCTCTGCCATCGATTCAAATGTTTGCTAGTGCCTTTGTTCCTTATAAGGCATGCCTTTCTTTTTATACAAAAAGAAAGGCCTGGTTGTTTCCTCTGCCAACTATGAACTTGTTGCAGGTGTGACTTCCTGGCTCAGTAGGACTTTGCCAGAGGATGCTGAATGTGCCGGTGATGGTCTCATAAATCCATCACCTTTTATAACCGCTGGGAATTTAGAATTCAAATTAAAGCTAGTGAGACTGAGAAACAGGTGGGTGTGGTGCCGGAAGTGTATGTGGAGCGAGGATGTGCCTGAAGAAAAGGTGATTCTCTAAGGCTTTATGTCTGGGATCTTCAGAGCTTTGGGGTGCTGAGAGCAGGCAGCTGCAGGAGGTAGGTCTTAGCTTCAATCAGCTAAGGTCAGCCCAATGTCTTCATTATTTACTCACCAGTTTGGCAAGTACTTCTACAGCACGTGTTAATGTGTTGAATGTTGCTTAAGTACTGAGCCATAGGAGAAAGATGAAGGACCTCTCAGAGTTTGCATTTGAAGAGAGATTGGATCTGTTGTGGTAACTAATCCCCCCCAACCCCACACACACTCAGGACGCTAAGATGGAGGGATGGGTACTTTGAGGCCAGCATGGGCTGGTTCAAGGTTGACTTCAGCTACATAGGGAGATCCTATCTCCAAAAAGAAATTGTGTGTGTGTGTAACGTCATCAAGAAAAACAAAGATCTTAGGACCTGGGACAGACAGGAGTGACAGGGTCAAGAGCCCTGAGCTCAGAGGAAGAGGTTCCAGGATGTGTGGGCAGCCAAGAGGAGGTGAAGCTGCAGGAAGTGGCCAAGGCGCGCAGAAAGGGACAGAGTAGCACTACTAGGGAGCTAGGAAGTGCTAGGGATCCTACACTGGCCAGGTGGGCGCTGTAGAGACAAGCCTTCTGACAAACTGCTTCAGTAGTGCGGTTAGGCCATGTTGATGTTAGGGGATGGCTGTCCATTCGTGAGCATATCTATGATTTGGTTCATATAGTGTGAGATCATGTGTGTGGATGTGTGTGTGTGGCTCAGAGTATGGTCCTCACACGCTGAGTATGTCTGTCAGTGTGGATGCTGTAAATATATATATATATATATATATATATATATATATATATATCGTACCTTGTCTGTGTGGATGTTCACATTTATGTGTGTAAGAACCTAAGTGCTTGTCTAAATTCTTCTTTTCATATGTTTATAGATATTTTGCCTGCACATATCTCTGCACTTTATGGGTGCCGTACCTGCAGAGGCCAGAAGAAGACATCAGATTTCTTGGGGCTGGAATTACAGATAGTGTCATGTGATTGCTGGGAATGAAATCTGTGTGCTCTCAAAGTATAATCAGTGCTATTAACCTCTGAGCCACCTCCCCAATCCCTGGGCTTGAGTCTTTATGTTTGTACACAGGCTTGAGAGAACGTGCCTGTGTTTGTAGTTGTGTTCCTGAGAACACCCCAGACACAGAGGGAGATGAGCTCACACTGGGGCCCTTTCCTGGTAACCTGACAACAAAGGACTTTACCCTTGTCAAAGGTCACAGAACAGACCCATGTCACTGATGACATCACAGAATAAAGCCAGGATCCTAGTGATCATGTGGTCACTCAGGCTGGGGCTGGTTGGAGGGCTTCAGCACAGCCCACACCAGCTCTCACTGAGATTCTGGGTGCTGGTTTGAAGTCATGAAACACCATCTTATGGAACGCAGGGGAGAACAGACACCAACCAGTGGGACCACAATCGGCATGGCCAGCCCAGAGTCCACAAAGGAGAACACAGGCGTATGCTGGCCAGGTGCTCAGTAGATGGGGAAGGGGCAGTTTGGTCTCTGATGTTATCAAAGAGCCGTGTTGATCTTATGAAGTAGATGGGGGAAGAGCGGTGAAGAAAGAGATCATTGGGGGAAAGCTGGTTCTTCCTAGGCTGCTGTGCATCTAAGGAGTTATTTCAGGAGATGTGTAGATGAGAATGTAACTGTTCTCCTTCATATATTCATTTCAATGTGTTTGAAAAAAATATGTCAATCCTGTAGTAATATAAACATTCCTTTATAGTAAGCTAATCTAGAACGCCAACTCAGTGGCCACCAGGATGTGTCTTTGGGCAGCATTTTAGGATAAGATCCGCTCTTGGAGTCAAGAGACTCGCCAGGCACACACATCCTCTTTGCCTCAGTTTCCTTATCTGCTGGATAAAACTCTAAATAGACTCCTTAGGCTTGTTTTAAATCTTAAGGACTCAAGGCAGGGCATTCACTTGGATGGTGAAAGGGACATGATGTGTGTGTGTCCACAGAGTGGATGAAAGGCCCCCCGGATGAGGCAGAGAGAAGTCACAGAGAAGAAGCTGGGGCTTCACCACTAGCTCCATTCTTGATTTTCAAGAGAGTTTTATTGAGCTGGTGCTGCATACACGATGTGTACAGTAGAAAGAACTGTGACGATGTTTATCTGAGTGGCAGCTGCAACCAAAGCACACAATGTAATCATGATCTCAGACGTTCCCGAAGGCAGCCGTATGTCTTGTCCACCCCTTTAGCTCTTGGTAATAATTATTCTGTCCCTAAGTGGACTCGTGTGGTGGCTTTTCCCATTTAGCAGTTGCATTATCTCTTGTGTCTGTTCTGCACACATCCTTGGTTCATTTATTTTATCCATGAATACAATCGCATCCTGTGGTTGTACCACAATCTACTTTTTTGGTCTCCTGGGTGCTGGCCTTTTACACATCAGTTGATTAGATTCACACACTCTTTTATCGTTATCTCCCAATGAGGTAGCATTATGGTCATCTCTGATGAATAGTAGGCACCTTTCCCAAAGCCACCAGAGCCTGCATGATTCTATTTGTGGCTTCTCGGGAAAGTTACCTATGGTGACTTTTGAGAGCACTGATGAAACTGCCCTTCCACTTCTCAGGAACCATGAGGAGGAACGAATCATCTCCGAGGCCAGGGCCTGCCTTCCTCCCAGAGGACGACATCTACTTGGCAGCCCGGACACACAGGATGCTGGGCTGGAGCAGCTCTCCATCATCCCAGTCATCCTCAGAGTACCAGTCTTATTCTCAGTACCAGTCCTGGGCTTCCAGCAGGAGCGAGGAGGAGCAGGATGCCCCACCCGAGAGCGTGTGTGCACTGTACACGCATGTGCAGACCGTGCGCGGTGTGGCAGTGGCTTGGGAGACTGATGATGGCTTCGAGCCCGTCACCAGGAAGCCCCTTATCCGTGAGGCTGAGTTCATCAAGCGACAGCGGCGGAAAGGTTCCTCCTTCGAAATGGCCTCCAACACAGACTTGCGCTGGGAGCTGGAAGCCTGCAAGCACTACTGCCCGGAGCCTGAGGACCCTGTGGACTGCTGTTTGCAGGAGTTGCGAGCACCGCCAGACTGGTTGGTCACCACCAACCATGGCCTTCGCTGTGTGGCCTGCTGTAGAGTCTTCCCCACGTTGGAGGCGCTGTTGGACCACGCCCAGCATGGCATCCGCGATGGCTTCAGCTGCCAGATATTCTTTGAGGAGATGCTGGAAAGGAAGCGGGCCCGGGATCAAAGGCAGGACCAACAGCCTGTAGAGGAAGAGCAGAGCCCTTCTGACAGTAGTGAATGTTCCAAGCCCTGCACCAAGGATCTTCCTCAGAACCCACAGCAAGAGCAACAGCCGCAGCAGCCGCCACAGCAGCAGAAGCCCGAGCAGACGCCACAGCAGCAGAAGCCACAGGAGCAGGCACAGCAGCAGAAACAGCAGAAGCAGCATCCACCGGGGAAATAGAGATTGGAGGTGAGGTGCCCACCCTCCCTCCAGCATCATGGGCTGCTGCTCCTTTTCCAGCCAACAGGACCAGAGCCACCAGAGCAGGGGGAGAGGACCAAGGTGGTGGTGGGGGGAAAGCTATCTATGTGGCATGTGTAGCAACAAGGTGGGAGGGGTAGGAGCCTTTCCTAAAGGTGCAGCATTTCCACCAGAGTCCATTTCCAAACCAGAATCCAAAGAAGAGGGCTTCAAGAATTCCTGACGGTGGATGCAAAATAAGAAACACGCAAGCAGGTGGCCACAGGGGTTTCCATTTTTGCTGCCGGATCCAACGCAGTCCGCATTTGCTGCTCAAGCACACGTGACTCACAGGGGAGCCAACTGTAAATGAAGCTTCGGCCCTATTTTTTTCATTGTTAGGAATCTGTCATATGCCCTAATTCTATGTCTTATGTTGTTGGGATTAAACTTGAATAAGACAAAGTGGTTCCAAGTGCCTGAGTGAACCTGGTTGAGTAACGCTTATCAGAAATATTTCCCTCCCTCCCAGAAGTGCGACTATTTGCATTTGCTTAGTGAAATGTCTTGAGAATGGGACCCAAGTGTAAACAAAATCTTTCTCATAAACACCATAACATGTATCCAGAAGGGGTCTGTTTAGCATCTGTCCTGCCCTTGTCTGTCACTGGGCTCAATCACGAGGTCAAGTGTGACATTTTCTGCTTGTGACATCATGTCAGTTCTCGGGAAGTTTCAGACTGGGAATCAGTTCAACAGTTTGGATTTTGGTTTCTAGGGCACGGGATGTTCAACCTGTTTGCAAGCTCCATGCTACCCATGACAAAGTCAATTGCAAAGCAAAGGGTTAATCTCAACAAGAATGTCCAAGGACCCAAGAGGGGGGGCCCTAAGACAAGTGGTCTGATCAGAAGCTTCCCCCTACAACACAAGCCAGGCAGAATACCATGTAGTTTTCACAAAGACAGCGTTGTCAACACTATGAGCTAAATGATTCTTTGTGGAGGCCAGGCATTTTCTTTCCTGTGACAATCAAACATACCCAGGTAGTAACTGTGCCACAGAGGTAAGAACCCATGAGCTAGGTACAATGAGGACCTTGGTTCAGAGAATGCCTCAGTGCATCCAGAGAAGTGCCAGCCACTTGACCCAGCTGCAGGACTGGAGGGATTGCTCTGCCTCCCCTTTAGTGAAGACAACACTGACCACATGGCAGAGACTGACCAGGCCCAGGAGCGAGAAGAGGAGAAAAGGAATGAAAACAGGTGTAGGTGCTGTTTGGGGGACGAGGATGAACTGATTCAAAATAATAGCAAAAGGGCTTTTCCTTGACCTGCTGGCCCCTGCAGAGCTCACCCGGGGCACTTTTCATCTGCTTTAGCATTAGCCGCTTCACTTGCTATGTTCTAGCCACACTGCCCTTGCTTAAACTAAGATTTCAAACCTCAGAGCACTAGCACACGTACTCAAGAGAGCTGCAGTTCTTCCCCTGTCTCCCGGCTGACGTGCTGCCCTGCTCTGGAATTTTATCCTTCACGTCACCATAACTCATTTCTCATTCCATGTGCTTGTTTAAGAAAGCAGGTGACAGGACCAGGCCCACACGTTCAAACGTACAATGTAGAGTGTGAGATTGGGAGACGTAGCAAAAGGAGAAAGAGGGAGGTTGGAAGATTTGTAATCTGGTGCAGGAATCTAGGCCAAGAAAGGTGCTGATTTGGATGGGGCAAGAGGAGTGAGTTCATTCGAAACCTAGTTGGGGAATCAAGTGTGAAGGACTTGGAGATGAAGGAAAAGGCACACCCAGGTGGAGTCTCCAGCTGATAGCAGGAAAGAGACTGCTGGCTGATATGGGAGACTTAAGGTGGAAGATTGGAGTATGTCTGTGAAAACATGTGAACATGTGTGTGACCATGTTGTGAGCACGCACATATGCCTTATGTGACTGTGTCTGTGTGTGAGCATGATCTCCACATGGAAATAGTTCTGCCATAGTGGTCGGTTGGGGCATATGAATTCTCAGTGCTAATGGCAAGTGGTTCCAGTCTAGAGCTTCAACCTTTGAAAGAGATGTTTACATGTGTTTACCCTTGACAGTCTGGAGGCTTTATATTGTTTAAATTGCTCTATTCATATTAAATCGTATGCATTCCCTACACCCCCACAAAATGTAGCTTGCAGCCTCATTTCTTTTTGTGTTGGTGAGTGACCCAAGGCTTCATCAAGGTCACATGGATATGCATGGAGGGGTAAGGTTTCTCTTCCAGCAGCTTGACTCCAAACCTTCCTGTAACCATGACACTGAGACTTTAGCTTGGATGGGGACACAGATGAAGGTGTTCATCCTCACAGACTGTGTTGGCTTTTGATTAAATAGCAGCAGCCGGATAACAGAGAAGAGATGAAGGGGATGTAGGACAAATAAAGGATAGCAGGTGATGTGGACAGAGAGAGGATGAAACGCTGCTGTGCACAGTGACTGGCCCCTGCAGACCCCTTTGCAGAGATCTGGGACCTCCTGAGGCCTCCGTGTAGGATTTGTACCAGAGTGTGTTTGAAAGGGGCCACAAACATTCGAAATGATAAATCACTTCAAACTCTTTATTTCCCCAAACCATAGGGGGAAAATAGGACTCATGTCCCCAAACCTACATAAAGCCAGTGACAAAGGCTGGAAGAATGACACTAAAAATCAAATGATGAATTAATCTCCTACGCACACATGACCATCAAATTTAACAAAGTATAAAAGGTATAATTCACCTTGACTAAGTTCGGGTTATCTCTTGACTCAGGATACTTAAAAATTATTACATCTGGCAATAATTAGTATTGAAAGAACAATCATATTTCTCTCAATAAATATGAAGTGGACACGAAAGGCAGCCTCTTGAGTCCACACCTGTTCCAGGAATGTGCACTTATGTGCCTCCCTTTCTCACGATGTCTTGCTTAAATCTATATTAAACCCTTTCCTACTAAACCCCAGTCTTGCTGCAAAAAATATAAAAGATGATACCATAAGTGGACATAAATGTATATATTTGTGATCAATTGTTTTTCTGATATAGGCATCTAGCAAAAATAATTCAGTGGGGGGAAAGTTAATCTCTCCAGCAATTGAAACCAGACACAGCTGGGTATCTGCAGACAGACATTGGCGTGGAGGGGCTGAAGAGATGGCTTTAGTAGTTAAGAGCACTTGCTGCTCATGTAAAGACCTAGGTTCAATTCTCAGCACTCACATGGCAATTTACAACTTCCGGGAACTCCAGGGGACCTAATGCTACCTTCTGACCTCCGTAGACACCTGAACTCATATGACACATATACATATATTCAGGTACATAATCATGCACATAAAAATAAGTCCTTAAAAATAGTGGAGTTGGATGCCTATCATGTCATACACACATGCACACACTCATACATACACACACACAGGAACCACAGTTGTAAAACCTGAGACTTGAAGACTTGTCTACACAGAAGCTTATATGTGGCTATTCAGAAGCAACATTACTCATGGTATAAAAACATGAAAGCACAGCCTGCATGTCCACCCAATGGCGAACAGATGAACAAATGTAGTGTGTAGGTATACAGTGGGACATGATCTAGCCATAAAGCATGCACTGACCACCTGAATGCACTTCAATGCCCTGTGCAAATGTGAAAGAAGCCAGCATAAAAGGCTTCCTAACGTGCAACCTTGCACACGTTAAATATCCATATAGGTGAATTTACAGAGATGGTAGCATATGAGCAATTGCCAAACAGTCAGCCAAGGGGAGGCAGGTGAGCGACGCTAGCCTCTATGGTGCTACTTCGTAGCATATAAATGCATTTCCAAATTAGCAGTGATGGGTATGAAGCTTTGTAACTCTAACAAGGCACTCAGTGGTAAACTTGAAAAAGTCAAGTTTTATAGAGTATGAATTATATTTTAATAAGAGTTAATAAACACAACCATCATTGTGGGTCAGCAATGGGCCTTAATCCAGTGTAACTGATGACCTTACAAGAAGAGGAGGTGAAGGCATAAACAGAAAGTCCATGTGTGATAGTCGCTCTGCCCCTTCTCAGAAAAAGAAGTGCAGTTATCTCTCTTTATCATGACAAATATCTGAGATAATCCACTTAGGAAACCAAAAGGTTTGTTTTGGATCATAGTGTTGGAGAGTTCAGCTTATCATATTGGTTGGTCCTGTTGGTTTGGGGCCTATGGTGGGGCAGATCACAATGGTGTGGACATGGAGCAGAAGAAACTTGGTTGCTTGGTAGCCGGATAGGAAAGAAGGACAAAGGAGGAGGGGACAAGGTCCCACAACACCACTTAAAAACACACAGCCAGAGTCTAAAGCCTCCCTCTATGTCTGTCTGTCTCTCTCCTCTCCTCTCCTCTCCTCTCCTCTCCTCTCCTCTCCCCTCCCCTCCCCTCCCCTCTCCCCTCCCCTCCCCTCACCTCCCCTCCTCTCTCTCTCTCTCTCTCTCTCTCTCTCTCTCTCTCTTTCTCTCCTCTCTGTATGCAGTATATGTGTCTGTAGGCGTGCATGTGTGCATATTATGAGTATATGCACATGTGTGGTTGGGTGTGGCTGTGGAGGTCAGAGGTTAACCTTAGACGTCTTTCCTCAGGAGTAGCCCATCTTGTTTGCTGGTTTTTGAGACAGGGTCTCTGACTGGGACCTGGGACTTACAGATTCATGGCCCTGAGGATCCTCCTGTTTCCACCTCTCCAGATCTTTGGTCTCAAGTTTACACTACAGTTGCCAGCTTTTCATGTGGATGCTGACCATCAGACTCGTAGCGCAATGATTGCACTGCAATCGCTTTACTGGATATTTCCCCAGCCTTACAGGCTCTACCTCCTAGAAATTCCACCACCATATAGTGCCAACCTTAAGATCAATCCTTCAACACATGGGCCTTGCAGAATCATGGAAGATTTACACCATAGGAGAGGATGGCCATCTATAACCCAGAGCGGGGAGGGCAGGACTCAGAAGAACCCAAAATTGGGAGATCAAGTCCAGAGACTCACATCTTACTTTCAGACTTCTGATCTCTGGGTCTGTGAGACAATGCATTGTCTTCTTTTAAATGTCCTGTGTGTGACTCT